GTCGATATTTTTTTTCTCCTTGGGTTGAGTTATGAATTTTTTTGAAAGTGGCACTCAAACGTCAAAAATGACCCTCAGTCGTAAAATAGCTGTATTTCAATAGCTATTAAGAGCTAACATTTCTAGTTCATACCATAGATAGAAGAGAGTCTGGGCTACAGTTTGATAAAAAGAAAAAGTTTTCACCTCTTTTGGGCGACACATATTCCGAAAGAGAAGACTTTGGCCGATCTAACTGAGCAAGAAACCGTAATTTCATGTTTTCGATGAAACTCATCAATTTCGCAGGGAGAAGGGGGGGGGGAGGGGGTTAAAGAATAAAATAAGAGCATGGTANGGCCATCCTTTATACATTTTTTTTACAGTTTATTCTACTCTGATACTATTTAAACTTCCCTATAAGAGAAATTTTTCTGTTAAAGAATAAAATAAGAGCATGGTAAATTTTATATTTTGATCTTGAATGTTTACCTTTTATATATTCAACGAAGAGAGTGCTCACTGTAAACTTATTTCGTATTGTACCAATTTCGCACAAAAAATGGAAATAGGGCTTCTCTTGTTATTGTAATTTGAATTCATCAACTTGGTACAATACGAAATAAGTTTAGAGTGAGCACTTTCTTCGTTGAATATATAAAAGATAAATATTTGATGAAAATATAATATTTTTTCTTTTCTTAGTTTATTCTTAAACAGAAAAATTTCTCTTATAGGGAAGTTTAAATAGTATCAGAGTAGAATAAACTGTAAAAAAAATGTATAAAGGATGGCCAGAAGTTCCGTCTCGATTTAAACACTAAATATTCTTCAAATCAAGTGAGGATTTCTAAGCCATCCTTTATGTGTTCTTGATAAATTGATAAAACAATAATCTTCTGAAACATAACGGTTAATTATCTTGGAAGAAGTATCTAAATCAGTTAAAAAAGAAAACGAAGTTTCTGTATACATCTACATAAAACGTGTTATAAAATGAAATGTTGTATAATAGCAGAATACAAATAGTCGCATAATGCAGGATCGACGGACCAGAATATATTTTGAAACTCTTAATTGTCGAGAAAAGCAAATAAATTGTACTAGTTATTCAACATACAAAGTGATTGCAAACTAAATACTACTCAATGTACTATATACAATAAATTGACTATTCTATATTGTTATCATTGCAAAAACGTGTCAAGTAAGAAAATACTTGACTTTTTTTTTCTGTTTTTGAATTAACGGGATCTTATAACTAATTTTAATTCTAATTTAATTCTGTCAACAAATTCAAAAGAATCTTTTAAATATGTATTGGTCTTTGACATTGGTAGTAATGATAAGTTAGTCAAATATTTAGCACTGTTGTGGAAGTAAGCGTCTGGTGTATGTACTTATAATCACAACATGGTTAAATATTTGGCTAAATTATTATTATCAGCAATGTCAAAGACCAATACATATTTGAAAGATTCTTTTGAATTTGTTGATAAGAAATGTAATATATGATATATCATATTACTCACCTAATTGTACACCTATAATCACCTTAGTTATCTATAGGTAAAGAGATTAGAGGTGTAAAATTAGGTAAAGTGAGACATAAAATCTGACTATTAACAAACACGTGAAAAAAAGTGTTTATTTCTACTCCTTAGCATGGAATATGCACATTGACTTTAACTAAAACACACTTTGGGCTATTCTCAAACATCTGTTGAAGCAGACGATTTTTGCCGTCAAATCTAGTAACTGTCTGTCACATATATTCAGCTCAACATTTAGATAGAAAAATAAATATTTCAAACGAGTGTATGACTGTCTGTATTTTAATACTTTTTAAAAGTATCACGCTCATATCGTGACAGATTTTAGATTGCGTTAAAACACTGTAGACAAAATCAGTACGCCGTATCTCCGTACTCATCTGTATCGTGATAAATAGTAGAGGCACGTGGGGCAATTAGAACGCGGTCAAAACATTTTGCGTTATTTTTCTCGTAACTTTGAAAGCTTAGAAGTTTTTACAAAATTTTCAATGCAAAAGTTGTAGACTAGGGTGTTAGGCACCGACTGGTGCAAAAATCAATTGAAAATCTTACCAGTAAAAAGATTAGGAGCAGTTTTACTGGAGGAGGGGTCCGAAACGTTCTTATTTCCCGCAAGCGGGAATAGGAGACATTCACCTCTATCCTCCTATATAGATTAAAAGTCTAACATACTATAAGATCTCAAGATAGTTTGTCCACCACATATGAGACTCTAAGTTCAAAAAAAATTCTATGCGTTCCTATTTTCCACCAGTGCGAAATTAGAACGTTTGCTGTGTCTGCATGGGGTAAATAGAATGCATTACTCCAACCAGTATTCTTGACTTATCTTCCGTTTCGGTCATCAGCCTACCCAGAAAAGCATTTTGAAACACGGAAACACACATACTCGTGTGTAAAGTGTTTTCTCTATCCAATGCAAGCAAAAACAATTGTTTAAAACTAAGTTTTACCCTCGTTTATGGCCAAAAACTAAAATATTGGGAAAAGCACGATTTTTTTGGCACTTGATGACAATTTTGCGTTTTATAGAATTCGATGTTGATTTCAAATATATGATTTTCTTTTTTGAAAATGGTTGAGTGTAATTCTTTCAGAACTGTCCCACATTTACATGAAGGTTTCTCGCAAAAATCGCGACATATCTCATTGAAAGATGACATATTTTCCACGTTTTCAAGTTAAAGAATGACCGAGTTGGTCAATAGAGAATTGTTGTACAACAACATCAATGAAATCACGCATGTTTTAGTCGTTAATGTGCTCTTGTCGAGTCTTTGATGCGGTTTCATTTGACAAAGCCATGCTAAAGTGGAAAAATAAGATATGCGCGATTTTTGCGGGAAACCTTCACGTAAAGTGTGGCACAGTCCCAAAAGAATTACCCTTGAGGCAAAAAAATGACTTTACCGCCACTTGTCATTGATGATATCCTATAAATTTTCTAAAAATGCGCAGACAGAATCCAACGGATAATGTAACACGCTTCCTAAGTCAGAATCCTGCGAGAATTGTACAATAAAAAATATCTGTTGTAGAAATTATACAAAGACCAGACTGTGAGAGGAGTGCAGCTAAAATTTCTGATCGATATATTGATCTAGAGCAAAAATATCAAACATGGATGTTCATTCGGAATTTATCTTCATTGTATATTTTTCATATAATAATTTCATTCGGTCAAAAACTAATTTTATTCTATTTTTTTTTTGGCACTAAAAATTTCATCATATCGCCTATCTAATCTTCTTTTAACATATGTATATAAATCTATTTCGTATTTTAATGCCTTGTATAAAATTTCTTTTGTTCGATTATTTGGTTCAATTCTATACGCTTTTGGTGTTTCCCATATACGTTTCTTTTTTTGACGTAAATATAATTTTGATATATTTGCAAAAAATTGTGGTAATACATGTTCCATTACGGAAAATGTTTTAAATAAATTTTCTGTTATACCAATTAATTTATAATATTTGACAATGTTTGATTTTGCTTGCCATAATGCTTCTTCAATAGTTTTATACCCTTCACAATATGATGATTGACCACAGAAAAAGGCTATTGCTGAATGTACACCATGTTCTAAAGATGTACAAACATGTGGTTGATTTTCATTTCTAATTATACAATCATCCAATGTTTCATTAATATAAGCAAGATTCATTCTAAAACATGTTTTTCTTTTTACTGTACACATATAACGTGAATAATAATAATCGGATATAGCACGTTCTAATGGATTTCGTAATAAATTAATATAAAATGGTTGTATATGTTGATGTCGATTAAAATCAATAAAATAAATATGACGTTCAAATAATGTTAATGTTTTTGAATTATTCATCAACTTGTTGACAAAATGTTTTTGTTCTACTTGATTCAATTTGTATTCTGTATACACTTTTGCTTCCAAAAATTTGAAATTTAATAATCTAGATTGTTTTACAAACAACATCTTCATCAATGTACTAGCACATTTTGGCACTCGATTATATAAAATAGGTACGAATTGTTGTTGATATTGAACAGACTTTATAGAATTAATTACTGGTTCATACGCTCTTCTGAAGAGCCAAATATTTGAAAATATAAATAATATATTAAAACATGTTACTGATATAATGAGATATCTATTCTCAAACATTCTAAGTACCATCATTCTAAAGCTAGAGAAGCATGCTAAAATTCCGATATATCTGAAGAAAAAACAAGAACCGGAAAAAATATATTATAGATATAAGATTAGAAAGTAACACTCATAATTGAATCATTATGATTTAAACAAGTGAAGATTGATAATTTTATATAAGTAATGTTATTATCTAATTTAGTATTTTTGCATTTGAATTATATTTATTTGTAGAAAATATTAAACATTGAATGTATTGATTAAATAAAAATCATGGATATTGTAAATAGAAACTACTCATGTGGAATGTGAATTATGATTAGTTATGTACTTCAATGGCCTCCTCTTCTTTATGCGATAATCGTTAGAATAGGTCAATTTTTTTATTTTTCATTTTATGTTAGCTTATAGAAGAGAAAAACACGAGAAATAATGATAAAAATAGACAGACAAGGACGCAAAAAATACATTTATATCGATAGTAGATATAATCAAGAAATGTGGCCAAAATATTGTGTTAAAACGAAGGACACGCTTAAACGTATTGATATAAGGCGCTTCAAATTCAAATGTTAAGTCACTATTTCATTTTTGGCTTAAAGATACACCATTTGATGCAGTTTTTTACGATGATCACGAATATCTTATTTTCAGTTCGCCTATCGCACGTTTTATACGAAAAACTTAAAAATATTGGTGGAGTCCGTTTTTTTGAAAATCGACAACTTTTCAAAAATCAGACGACATCTCGGTTCCACATGATTCTGGAACTTTTCCAAAGTGTTTTTCGAAATCAGCGTGAAAAACTGTATACAAGGAAGTGTATTTTAAGATTCCAGACCCATGAAAAGCGTTCAATCTCTAGTCAAAGTTTAGAGGGCTCTGATTTCTACCCTATTCGCTCGCAAACCTATCTAGTTTTTTTTTGTAAAGAGATAGAGCCTTGATTCTGATGCCATTGGAACCGACTTTGAACGTAGAATAAAAGTGTGTATTGCTTTTTTTGAAATTCCTTTCCGTTGCTGAAAAAATTCATGTTTTCTTAATTAGAGGCAAAAAAGTCAGAATTCTGCTCGTAGTTCTGAATTTTCTCCATCAAAAATCAACTTAAATACAATAGCAATATCATATTCGCGATCATGATCAAAAACTGAGTCGACTGATGTGTCTTTCTATATTTTTAGTTGAATTTCATTTTTTTGGTGAAAATCGCGATATGTTTTCAACGTGAAAGTTCACAAATACTAGGGTGGTTGGAAGTGATTGAGAAAGTTTAAATTTGATGCCATTCGAACCGATTTGGAACGTAGAATAAAAGTATGTAT